TGAAAAGAGTGACCGTGGCTCAGTGACACGGTCACAAGAAACGCAACCCAACACTTCAAGGTGGCAAAGATGTACTGAGAGCCAATGCTGAATTCATCGCCCCTGTTTCACCTCCTCTCATTTTGGCTGACACGGCCTCTTGCCAGGTTGCGGTTTTTCTTTTGGGTGTTGTTTGGGGGTTGGCGTTTGTTTTGGTGGTCTGTTGGTGTTCTCCTTTACTGCAACCTGGATAGTAACTCTCTCTTCACTAGCACAAGATGACCTGTGCAACCTCTGCACACATGGCGTCTCCACCCGTGCAAAAAAAAAGACACATTGAGCGCAAGCTAGATGGCTTCCACTTGCCTTTCTGCGACTTCCCTTGGCCAAGCTGTTTGGGAGCCACCGACGCAAGTAGAGTGTGTCCACTGCCCTCCTTCCCGCCAGGGGAGGGGTGGCTATCGGCAGTATGCAATCGCTTTCCCGAAGAGATTCCTATCAATCACAGGCCGCGCTGCTGAATCCAGGTATCCGAAGGCTTGGAGCAATCGGGAACTGTTCACAGTGTTTTTTCCCCTTTGCTTGTTCAATGCTGCAGAGGAAGAGGGTTGACCTGGTATTGTAAGAATAACGCCTGCTCTTTTGACTGCACAGCGTCGTAAGCGCTGCTTTCGATGCTCTCCACCTGCGTAGCGTTCTGTTCTCAGGACGCTTTGCAGCATTGAAGGAAGGACGTTGAATGAAGATAGACAAAGCTTGCACTGTCCAGCAGCACTGAGAGGCCTTTGCTTAACTCGCAGCCCCAAGTTCCACCTTTCACTCTCTTCTGGTCTACGTGACCTTCTTGAGTTACATGCCAGTTTGCTTCGTGGTCTGCTTGGGTTGGGTTGGTTGTTTTGTTTGTTGTTTGGCTCTGGTTTGTGTTGTTGGTTTTCTTTGTTTTCGCAACCTGGCTCGTAACTCTCTCTTAACTAGCACAAGATGACCTGTGCAATCTCTGCACACATGGCGTCTCCACGCGCAAAAATCTTTTTGGACCCGCACCCTTCTCCAACTGGGCTGACCAACGCCTTCGAGTTTGGGACATGTGTCAACAGGCCAGTGCGCGAGCATTTTTTTTTGCACGAGTGGAGACGCCATGTGTGCATGGTGCACAGGTCATCTGGGGCTAAGGTTTGAAACTCCGAGTACTCAAAGAGCAAAAACCGGGAAACAGCAACAAAGCAACGCAACCCAAACACAAACAACCAAAAAGACAACGAGGCGCCAAAACGAGAAAACTAGGAGCTTCATTTCTGTACATCCGTGAGACAAGGTGAAAAGGAACAATGGCTGCTATCTACCTGGGCCGTGAATTCAAGGTTAAGCTGCAGTCGAACATTTGTTGGTCAAAGTACGAAGAGGCATCGGGCAGTAGGCCTGTGTCAACAGGCCAGTGCACGAGCACTTGCAGGCGCAAGCGCTCAGGTGCTAGATCTCAGCTCATTAGTGTTGCGCAGAGTCCAAGTTGTACCAAAGGAGTTTGCGAGTCGAGAGCTCAATGGTCGAAAGGCAATGATGTTCTGGCCGTGGAAAGCAGCAGTGACCTGGCCTCTACTCTATTGCTCCAAGCAACAGCGAACGCAGGAGATGCTGTGGCCTGCGATGGGCTTTCTACCGAAGGAAGTCATAGCTTTATGGTTCGCACACCCAGTGCACAACGAAGCTCCCTCAAAAAAGAGGGAGCAAGTGCAGCGCTTCACGAGCAGGCTCCTTAACAGCTACTTAGTGCTATCCTGGTCGCTCCCAAAACGAGTTGCCATCCTCAGGTGCCCCAAACTCAAAGGTGTTGGTCAGCCCAGTTGGAGTAGGTGCGGGCCCAAAAAGAAGCCAACACTGCCAAATAGGAAGGCTTTAGGTCGCTCCCAAAACGAGTTGCCATCCTTGGGTGCCCCAAACTTGAAGGTGTTGGTCAGCCCAGTTGGAGTGGGGGTGCAGGTCCAAAAAAAGAAGCCAGAAATGCAAAATAGGAAGGCTTCAGGTCGCTCCCCAAATGAGTTCTTGGCCGGTAACTCTCCTCCAAGTAGCGCAAGGTGACCTGTGCATTCTCTGCACACATGGCGTCTCCACCCGTGCAAAAAAGAAAATGCCTGCCGATTTTGCACGTGCAAGAGATGAACCTGCAGGTTGGTCGCCCAAGCCTCTTCAGCAATGAGGCATCCATTGTGACGATGCCTGGATCTCCAGGCACAGTACCAAGTGCAAAAGGAACTGCAAATGCACACTGAGTACTGAGAGTCCGTTTTGCGTAAGTCGATGGCCCTCCCGTTTCACCTCTTCTCAAATTTGTTTCACGCCTGCATGAAACGACGAGTCGCCTTTTGCCAAGCCCCGCCCCTGTGTTGTTTGTTTGTTTTGGCTGTTGGGTGTTTGCTTTGTTTGGTTGTTTCGGCTTGGCCGGTGACTCTCCCCCAAGTAGCGCAAGATGACCTGTGCATTCTCTGCACACATGGCGTCTCCACCCGTGCAAAAAAAACCACCAGCTCCAAAGTGCCACTCCAGGTATGTGCATTCCATATGAACTGTTGGTTGGAGTCACCAACTTCGGTCTTCTGAAAAGCATCCAGATGAGTACTTTCAACGTTGGCACAGGCGCGCCCGGACTTTTGGGAGCACGAGGACGATGGAGGTGTTGTGGTCCCAGGTGATGACCAGGATGAACCCAGGGCAACCAGCACGGAGGGCGCATCCGGATCGCGCGTTTGGAGCGGCACGTTTTGGAGCGCTGCGCTCGAGATAGATCCACCGCGTCCGCGAAGCAGTTGTGGGTCTGATCGCAGGCTTGGTTATGGTCAAAGTAGTAGGTCACCACCCTCAAGTTCCGCTTTGAAGATTTCATTCCCCAATAGCCATGCTATGGGGTCTTGCAAAACTAATGGGCGGACGGGCGCCGTCGGGTCACCCAGTCAGAGCTGGTGGGCGGATGGTGTCCCGGTCATGTTTTGATGGCGGGTCATGTGATGCTGGTGGCCCGGTCATGTTTTGATGGTGTCCCGATCATGTTTTGATTGTGACCCAGTCATGTTGTGATGGTGTCCCGGTCCTGTTTTGATGGTGTCCC